ACTCTGTGATGACATAATTGTTGTAAATATAATGTCCGCTAATGAAGATCTCGTTGGGCCACCGCATCTTCAGACACTTTATCGGTTCCGTTAAGTTATTCAACTCTAAACCGAAAAACTGTTTCCCCTTTTTATTATAACCCCTGATTACTGACGACCCAAACGCCACCAGAATCTTCGGCGAACCGCCGCTATTGGAACTGTTGATCACTTCAATGCAACTGATCTTTGCGTTCGGGCCTTAAAATGGACACAAATTGTTTGTAAATACAAACCCAAAGTCAACTCCAATGGGAGACTATAAATACCGGGCAGTGTCTTGAATACGGTGTCGATGTTTGACGAGTCGGGTCTAAGTGTAAAGCAGTGAACAGAACCGGAGTGATCGCCGACGACGGCAGCGATGGTGCCATTGTCTGCGCCCACAACACCCTGTTTGATGAGTTTGAACGAGTTCTTGGAGGTGAGACCCACTTGCGTGTAGTCGATTCGGTTGAGTTTGTTTGACATAATTATTCTCTTATGCCCTATGAATGCCTCCCAAACGACAAACCATTAGACAAAAAGTTTTGTTTTCCAGAAATCAATTAAATTCACGGTTACTATAGAAACACATCTTTTTATTATTATTCCTCTGTTTTTGTTTTATATTAAATCAAATTCATTGACAATAAATAATTTGTTAATAATATATAGAAAAAGCATTTTATCTTTTATAAATTCACGGTTACTATAGAAACACATCTTTTTATTATTATTCCTCTGTTTTTGTTTTATATTAAATCAAATTCATTGACAATAAATAATTTGTTAATAATATATAGAAAAAGCATTTTATCTTTTATCTAAATTAATATAAAAAGCAATTCTTGTAAAATACAAATCGCATTAAATATAATATAAATATACTTTGAATTAAAATATAGACTTATATTCTAATATTGATTATCAAATTAATTGATATTTTTAATGTGACTATGAATTTGTGGTGAAATTGCAATGAAATGTATAAATAATGTCATGTTTTGGCCGATTGTTAATATTTCATTCAAAAATATTTCCGATTATAATATTAATAGAAATATTCTAATAATCAAATCATAGGAAGAACTTTGAATGAAATACAAATATATAAAATTCACAGAAAATATTATTTCACAATTAAATCCGTTTTGATTGACAAATAAAAAATTATGCAAAACATCACTTGATATTTGATTAATAAATAAAATTGAAACTTAAAAACTATTTTACATTTCCATCAATTCTGTTGATGAAAGTCTAATATTTTCCTGTTTTCGGCGTTGACTGCGGCGGACGGCGTCTGCCCTCCTGTAGGGCTCGTTCTTAAGACCTGTAAATCAAAGCAAACAAAACATTTAGTTTTGGTTCAAAGATTTGAACAAATCAAATGTGGTTTACCGAGGAGTATGTCTTCGAGAGCGCCGTTGTAGACCTCGTCCTGCTTTAGTAAACGCTTTTCTCTCACTTTCACCTCATTTGAGGCCTCCTTTTCGGGCGACTTTTGCTGCTTTTCCAGTATCTGTTGTCTGAGCTCTTCTTCAAACTTCTTCCTCTGAGCGGTAATGTTATCGCTTTGGCATTGTTTGAAATTCTTGAGGAATCGCGTGAATGTGCCGAACAGTTGGTTCGACGATTCCATCAATTTAGTGCTTTCGCCGAAATACTCGACACATTCGTTGTACTCGTGTTGCGCTCTCTTCAGGTCCTCTCTGAGTGCCTGTAATTCTGGCGATTTGTTTGAAATGAATTGTCGCAAGTGTTGTGTCGCCTGATTGTTGGCCAAACCGCTGCTGTTGCGTAACTGGAGCTCCTGTTTGCATAACTCCATTCCCTTCTCTAAGTCAATCACTTCCAGAACACAGGTCTCCATTGAGACGACGGTCGCCCTCTCGACAGCGGTTAACAACTTTTCCAAATCAAACGGCATTTTAATGTTTTCTAACGTATCCGTACCGGACATATGACCAGAGTTTTTGCCGAGAGTTACAAAAGGGTTAACCCGTATGGGTTTGGGTCCGTTTTCAGCACTGTTTAGTATGTGATCTGATATATAGTGCAATAGAGATCGCGAACGATCCACACTTGATTTGGTTTCACTGATGAGGTCTAAAGTGGTCAGTTTGAAGCCATAGGCCGGAGCCGTGGCTATAGTACGTGTGGAACAGTTGAGATAATTGCCAAACACCAAGACGTGTTCCAAAATCATACGAATGCCTTGAGATTTGCGAAGAAGTCTCGCGGCTTCGGTGATGACCGCTATGCGAGAGCGGCATTGGCTGACAATACTCTCCTCTCGGCTCTGATTCGGTTGCACTAAAGATGTCATATAAAACATAATCTTAAGCTTCTGTTCTAGTCTTTCGATTTTGGAGATATGAAAGAGGAATTTGTCGACTTCGTTCATCTCGTCCAACAGCCGTCCGGACCGCTCGTACTCGCGGTATGCCTTCGCTTCGTCCGCATTGGGTATCATTCGAAGCAATACTTCCAGATATTCGGCGGTCAAACAGTTGGTGTCGAATGAGTTGATGGCGCGAACCACGGAATCGGTGTCGATGTCAATCTTGCGCATCGAAATGGCCATATTTCGCAACCGGTTGTGCTCTAAGAGCGACACTTTTTCGGGCAATTTAAAGCGTTTGCTGGCGTTGAGTGTGGACACCGAGTTCTTGCGCATCAGTTCTGGTTTAGTGCCTAATTTGAACTGTTCTTCGAAGTGATCAAAATTGACGGCTTTGAGGATCTTATCCTCGTTATGGAACTCATTAAATATGGTTCCCTTCACTTGGTTTGGCTTCAATGGCACCCAATTAAATGTCGGTAATTTGTATTTAGTGTTATACGTCTTCTTTAAGGTCAACATGTCGTGCGAAACACCGCCGCCTAATGGAGGGGGTGGTGGCGGTGGCACTGATGCGCCCATCGGAGGGGGAGG